GGCTTTAGGCATGTTCTTTATGAGAGTATAACATTATAAAATGATATAAAACTCAAAAAAGTTGATTTTACATGATATTACCCCGTTAAAATGAGCTGTGAAAGAGAGAACATCATGAGGTTTTGAAAAGAAAGTTAAAAGATAAACAGAGACTCTCCTTTGCRACAGTCTTGGCTCCACATCTATAAACCATTCTCCTCTTTAGCTAATGAAACCAGCGTTGCCAACGTAGCGACTTTGTCACTAGATCTAGCGACTTTTTCGTCCGACAAATCTAGCCCGGGTGTTTTTAGAGACTTTTAGGAGCTTTGGCGACAGCATTTTCCAAGCACTTTTTTCCTTTCCTCCTCTGTTCCTCCGCAAGCAGCGAGCGCGGAGGTGAGCCCCTCCCCGTTCCTAAAGCCGTCCGACTCACTGAAGCCTGCAGCACCTCCAACCCTACCCCCAGCCTTGGCTGAAGTCAGCTGAGAGGAGAGACCGCTGCAAATGAATCACGCATGCGCAAAGCTGTCACTGCTTCTATGTGGTTTACAAAGCGGGATGTAATATTTATTGTAATGTTTTTCTCTGGTACTGCCTCTGTAAACTAAATCTCTGGACCCAGCTGTGTTTGACTCACAGATCAGTCACTTCACCTCTTCCTCGCTGTGTCTCGTGACATCGAACTGTCTGCAGATTAAATTTAAAATTCCCACAAATTTAATTTATGTTGATCTAAGCATTGAAGTCATAAACTATTTTTTATTTCATTAAGTTTAATTGCAGTTCTAAACATATATAGTGTTTTTATTCACTTTTTTTCCTCTTCATCATCTCTCCTTATAGCTCAGATCACAATTATTGGCAAACATCCGACTATGCAAAGTAAGTGATGACGTCATCTAGCGACTTCTAGCGACTTTTAGGACAGCCAATAGGGGCTTTTCTTGCTCAGGACTTGGCAACACTGAATGAAACAGTATCCACCTGCACATAGTGCACCTCATCTTCCTCTTCCTCGGGCGAAGAACATGTTTCTGCTGGTTCATCTTCACTGGCAGCTGATATAAAAGTTCCATCAGCTTCGACACACTCTCCACTGATACTTTTGCTGCTAAACTCATTCCAACAAATACATTTTCCTTTTTGAGAGCGCCTCTTCTTCCCCAACATTTTGACAGCTGTCAATCATTGAGGGACACGCCCCCAAAACTAGCAACGCAAATTCTGAAAGGTGATTCTACGGACCACCAGCCACTGAGCCCATGAGGGTTACCTATGACTGACTGATGTTTAAAATTTGTGTCAGTAATAATATCATCACTGACTGCAGAATAGATGCGACAGCTGTAAAGCTTTCAGTATGAGGTTTCCCGTACCTGTTTAAGGACCGACAATGTAGGGATAGGATCATGTGACCTCARATAGACCCCTCAAAGCTGCAGGACCCTGGGCTTCAGAGCAGGTAGGCAAGTAGCCCAGCCTGGAGGCAACAGATCCTGGCAATACTCTGCAGCTCCTCCTGGGGATCCYAAGGCTCTCTGTAGAAGAGAGGATACATAATCCCTGTAACAAGTTCTGAGTGCAGTGGGGTTTCCATCCAGTGGAATCTACTTAGAAAACCTCAAGAGGCATCCTAATCAGATTCCCAAACTATGTTAGCTGACTCCTTTTGATGCCGAGGAGCAGTGGCGCCTCATTTTATCTGTAAGACTGAGCCCAGTCACTTTTCAGACGTAACTGGTGCTTCTATCCAGGATTTCAATCTCTCATCATAATCCTCACCTCGGGACCACAGGTGAGGATTGAGGAATAAGCCAACCAGTAAATTAAGCTTTGTCTTTTGGCTCAGTTTTTTTTTTCTTCACTGTAGACAGAAGCAAAGGCCTTATCAGTGCAGACCCTGATCAGTCCATGTCCTGCTTTGTCCTACCACTGTTGAACAAGGCTCTGGGATACATGAACTCTTTTGTTTGAAGCAGAGACTCATCTCCGACGTGGAAGAATTCCACCTTCTTCAAGATATGTGGATGACATTATGACTAATATCCACCACGTCCACTTCAGTACAGATTAGACAATAGGGATTTACAGTAAACTTTAGTGTCATGAAGTACTGAATTAGCTATGCTGGCATAGCATCGCAATTTTGTTACTTTTTAATGCTCCTCTGCATCAAAACATCGCAGGCATCCTCCAGCAAGAAGTCAACTTTCGAATCCAAGCAACTTCAACACTTTATCTTGGTATACCTCACAGTGACTCCATCATACAGGAAAATGTCCTGATGCATCTCAGTAATCCAGGTAAAAAATCAAAGGAAAAAAAAATTGTATAGGTCCTCAGGAAAATGTTTTGTCTCTGATTTACGTTCCTCCGGTGCCCTGCCTTTGAAAATGTTTGATTAGCTCATTGTCTGATATTGATGTTTAGTCTTATGTCATTTGCTCACAGACTAAACCTTTTAAGCCAGAAGTACTTATATTAGTCATGTCTTCCCCTTTTGGCAAACAGAATCTAAGCTGGGGTAAGGAAAATGAAGCACGGGCCAGAAGACTGAGAAAAACAAAGCAGTTCAACAAATTTATTTTTGGTTTCTAGTTTAACTGGCACAATCTCTTCACTGAACGTGGGGCAATGTTTACATAGTGTGAGCAATACTCCATGATAGTTTTGTTAGGGGAAAAAGTTCATGAGAAGCAGCCGTTATTATTGTTTAAAAAGTAACTTTGATATTATTTGGTAAAAAAAACTAAATAACAGCACATAAGTTTTTACATTAGTGCTTGTTTTAACCTTGACTGCCCCTCTGTCTCTGTCCGTCATCCCTCATCAGGCCTGAAGCCAAAGAAAAGGGTCTAACGATGSTAATCGACAGCAGACGCTCGCAACCATCTGCTCTCTGCCTTTCTGCTCTGAAACTGTTCCAGGTGAGTCAGCGAAGGGAGAAAAAAAAACTGTGCCGAGTGTGTGCTTGTGTGTTTTAATTAACCTGCAGCTGTGTTTGTAGCTCGACACAGGTTTCTGAGTGTTTGTTTGCGTTTGTGTGTTCTAGGTGTTGGTTYCTAGCGGGCTTGGATCTGTCTTGGTTTTGGTGGAAGAGCAACAGGAGTCTTTTGAGTTTTCTGTGGAAGGAACTGAGGTGATCGCAGTTTATTGACTAACACGTTTAAGTAYACTGTTGTGTACTTTTGTGTATTATTATATGTTTTTGGTCAACTATGGGAGGCTTCAGACCAACTTAGCAGGAGAACATGCTCTTAACCTGTATATAGTGACCTTCAGAAAGCCATAAATTTAACAAAAAATCCAAATTACTCTCATACAATAAGAGTGGGAGGAGGCAAACTTAGCATTTTCATACAGGCTCTGAGACGCAAAATAAAAATGAAGCTAAGTTTTTATAAAAAATCAGTGAGATTGTCAAATGGGGGAAATAGAACAGAATAGAATTCAACTTTATTGTCATTGCACCGTCACAAGTACAAGCAACGAAATGTAGTTGCATCTATCCAGAAGTGCTATACAGGGTATACATATGTATTTATGTATTTACAGGTGTGCAAAGGTTGTTATAAAAATAAAATGTTCAGTATAAAAATAATATAATATAAATTTTAAAAAATATATGGGAGCTATGTGCACATATACAGATTATGTGGATTATACAGAATGTTAGGAATGAATTGTATATGAATTAGTAGATTTACAATGTAAGGTAGTTAATGGTAAATAAGATTTTCAGATTCAGATTACTGTATATACAGAGTATGTATAAGTGTGAGGACAGTCCGTATGTTATTGTTTTATGGGGGGACGGGGGGAGGGGGGTACAGTCCTTACAGTTGTGTCAGGAGGCGTTCATGAGCGTGACAGCTGTGGGAAAGAAGCTGTTCCGATGCCTGGTGGTTCTGGTCCGTAGGCTTCTCGGAAATCCAAGTAATTTACAGACAATTTGTACAACATATTCCTTAAACTTCAGGGTATCGTTAAATATCTAGAGTTTAAAAAATTAGTTTTTCTCCTGGTTCTGCAAACAGAAACCGTTCTGTTTTTTGTCTACTGCAAGTAAGATACTGACTACTTTTTATCAGAGTTGTAAAGTAGCTAAGTACAAAGACTTTGTTACTGTACTTAAGTAGAATGTCTGGTATCTGTACTTTAC